AGATTTATTTTCATTTACATTGCTAGATAGGAATTGTGGTTTTAACAAAGTGAAGTGCATATTTCAAGACATTTATCCTAAAGGACACATTTTAAGGCCATCATTAATCGATCAACTCTTAATTAATGTATATTAATCCATCTGCATATATTTTCTCTTGGAGGGGACCATGGGGTGTTAAGTGGCTGCAAGAGAATTAATACTGACATACACAATGCACACACTTATTTCACAGCTGCCCTGAAGTCCATAAGACAAGTTTCAGCCACTCAAACAGCATGTCTCACTCAAGATCTCGACAACATCGCCACTGATAAATACATACCAAGGCATACATCAAAAATGCCTATTGGGTCTATTTAACAAACCAATGCAGCGCATAGCTCTTGTTCTCAATTAAATCTAAGAAAATAAACACAGTTTTATTTAGGAGTTTATAAAACATTTGGAATACCATCACAATATTGCCAATATTGAACGTTTTCCAAAGGAATGCTGAACCGTGTTAATGCCAGTGTTTATTATGTGTGTAAAAATGTTCGGGAGTGGAACACATGCCATCTCATACTGAGACTAGAACACACAGAGTTGCCATATTCAGTTTATTTTTCTGGATACACATAGTTTCATTACGTTAACTGGCAGCACATGAAAATACTGCTCTGTAGTACGTAGAATTAATGTGCTGCAGAGTTGCTGATTGACGTATTTTGAAATCTGTCTAAAGTTCATGGTCTGCCTTCTGAGACTAGCCACCAGAGTATATTCAACCCTATTTAGGTGGAGAGCCAGTTCTCATGCTTCCCACCTCCATCCCAGAAGACTTCTAAAAACTACAGGGCAGCACTTTCCATATGTTGCCCAACAATTTCTCTGAGCGAAATGTATCCAGAAAAATGGTAGATGTGGCTTCCCCAAGAACACCATGTCTGCAACAGTGACATGAATCATGATCCATATAGATATACAACTAATAATATCATCATGGTGAAAAAGCAGGAACCAAAATCATTAGACCATGCAATTTCTATTCTCAACCAAGCAGGACAACTATCACCAATTATTGAACTTTAGGCTACACAACTTTTAAAATGTATGCAACTTTATTACAGCTTCAGTCCAAGAGAAGCTGGGAGGATGAGAGACATTTCCAGGTACTTTATAGAGTCAGTTTATATAGCAACTTTCTAACTTTCTCAGAAGTTTTTTTCAAAATGGCTTAAATCATTCCGTGCGTGGAATGATGCAGCTGGTCATTGAGAGATACTATTTGAGTGCATCGTAATCCGATCATTATTTGATTTGTTCAACTATTCCTTTAGTTTTCTGCGTTATAATACTTGCAGGGTTATTTACTTAATTGTAGAATATTAAACCTAAACTTAAAGAAGATTTTAAATTTAGGCTAAAATAAGTTGGAAAAATTATTAAGTTAATTATTTTGTCCTAAAATTTAAAAATCCCAAATTTTAATTCACATTGAATTTCCTACAATTCACACTTTCATGGATAACTATGTTGCTAATAACTTGTGTGAGTGGAAATGCTGCAAGAATGTTTTATGATATCCCTACAGGCAATGTCACCTTCCCAAAACATTCAGACGGTGGACCAATCCCAGTTCATTTTTAAAATAACAAGGAATTGACCCATTGTGATGCATAGTCTCATACCCAAGAGGATGGGTGAAATGGGTGGTAGCTATCGGCAAGCTTGTGACTTATCTGAAATGCCTTATCTGTTACATAGCATCCTGTAGGAGTGAACTACAACTGAGCAGCCATACCCTTTTGGGCCAAGGACGTCTCATGCTGGCTGAATGACTTTCAGCTTCCACAGAGCTGCAAAAACCACATGATGATCTTGTCGTTCATTCATTGGCTGAAAGTGTCAGCTGAGCACTCTCAGCCAGGGAATAAACCTCTTTGCACGGAATTAAGACTAGTCAGTGGAACTCTAGCTGGCTAATAAACGTTGCCAGAGCTGCAATAAACAATATCTCACTATGTGTACAGTTTCATACTGAAACACTGCACATGTTGCCCTTGCACCTTGACCACTTCAAAACACTGAAGCACTCGCGGTGCTTGGCGCAACCCTTTGATAAAAAATCCACTGAATCCTATTAAGACGTACATGCCTTTCATTAAATGGCAGCCAGATTCATATTTAAACTGAACACGACGGTATAGTGATCTGCTTATAATAAAAATATATTTACAAATATAAAGTCACATCGTTTTAATAGGCAAAATAAAATTGAAAACAAAGCAAGTAAGAAAAAAAATTTGAATGAAGCATTACTAGTCGGGGGGGTGGGGGAAGGGGGGGTTCAGCAGCTTTAAAATAAAATGAAGACAATTTCTACTGTGAAGGTCACTGGGTGTTAGAACTTCCTCAGGGCGGTGAATAAATTAAATCCAGAGGAAAAAAAAATGTGATTTCTAGAGTGTAAAGCACAAAGTCTAAATGACAGTGATTGGCAGGCAAACTATATCCTTGCAATATAGGAAACTGCACGTTCTCATTTTTTCAGTATAGGCAGCAAGCGCCCATTAAACATCCCTCTGATGCCCAAATTAACCTTCTTGGCAAACTGAAAGAGGCACAAACTATCATAATCAACCTTTCATTATCACAGCAGCCTCTAGTTAAAGGGTCAGAATAATTGTGCCATCAGAGCTCTGATTGTTTTCAATCAACAGAAGGCTCGAGTGACAGCTCACTGATAGAGCAGTTTGATGAAACCGCACCAAGTCTAATCAGAGCAGATGAAAGGAAAGCATGATTGGTGCAAATGAACAGTCGTGCCTCTCTTTTTTCATTTACAATCTGAAATTACTCTTAAAATCATACTCCCCTTCCCATGCCCTCCCTTTTATAAGGACCTCTAGAATTTTTTATTTTTTTGATTTGTTATGAGTTTTGACACAACAGACTTATAAAGCCAAGGTGTAGTTATCTGCTGGAGATTTAAGTGGACGTATAGCATAATGTTGTGAAATGTGCTCTTGAAAAGTGTAAAATGAGTATAGATTTGAAGCATGTGACCTAATCTTCTATTGCTCTTTGATTATCAGAGCAGTCTGTGACACCTTACACAGAGTGAAGGGAGAGGAGCTAAATATGGCAACGCATTGCTTGTGTACATTCAAATGGAGTGTTGAGAAACACACTAATCTTTCAGACTATGATACGAGAAAGAAAACACAAATACATGCTAAAAGTTAAACAAGGTTTGTGTTATCAGCAGGGTCTGCTTAAATATGGATTATCTGTGCTTATTAAAAGATGAATGCAACATTTGTCCTCTAGGACACGGCATTGGCATGGCAATATTACCTAAAGATATTTAGTCACAGTGAACATATGGTTCCTTATGATCATGTCATTCACTCACCTTTCTAAAAGCTGACTTATTAATTTTAACTCCTAGGAAATGTAATTGTTTTTGCAGAGGTGACGGCACTGTGGGATGAGATCTTATGTTGGAAATGTGCAATCCTGCACTTATTTACAATGGGTCAGCTGTAAACTGACTGAAATAGGCAATGAGAACTAAAATGTTTGTCTGTCCTTCCATCCATACATCTATCTATCTATCTATCTATCTATCTATATATCCGTCCATCCATTTATCTATCCGTCCATCCATCCATCTATCTGTCTGTCCGTCTGTCCATCTGTCTGTCTGTCTATCTGTCCATCTATCTGTCTATCTATCCGTCCATCCATCTATCTATCCGTCCTTCCATCCATCCATCCATCCATCTATCTGTCTGTCCGTCTGTCCATCTGTCTGTCTGTCTATCTGTCCATCTATCTGTCTGTCTATCTGTCCATCTATCTATCTGTCTATCCGCCCATCCATCTATCCGTCCATCCATCTATCCGCCCATCCATCTATCCGTCCATCCATCTATCCGTCCATCCATCTATCTATATATCTGTCTATCTATATATCTGTCTATCTATCTACCTACCTACCTACCAACCTATCTATCTATCTATCTATCTATCTATCATTGGTGCAAGGTCACTTAAAGTTATCGTAACCACTTCAAAGAGATTATTTAGTTAGGATGCCTGGAGTATTCCTTTAACTCCTTCTTATTTAGAGATATATCTAATTTATATTGATGTAGAGTATAGGTTTTATATTTTATTCCAACCTCATACATGTTTCTTTTCTATCTCAAAATGCATAACTGTAATTATATTTATTGACTCCCTTATACCAGTTGTCTACCAAGCCCTTCAATTTATTAAAATCCCTCTGCAATTAAGTAATAAACTGCACAGATATGACCTAATCTTCTATAGCTGCAAGCCATCTATGCTTTATAGTGTGGCAGCATTTTTGGAATACATATTCCAAAAACTACCAGCAGAGGAGTAGACAAATACCATTGAAACATTTATTCTCTATATTTAGATAATATTTTCCCATATTCTAAACATGATACTTGCCATATTTATTTAGTACTTTGCAAAATAAAGGATACTTTATAATATACAAATATTAATACTAGTATTTCTGTATAGGATTAATCAATAGAAAAAGCAATAATCCAAAAATGTTATTTTCTACATTACCCTTAAAAATAAGCTATTCAGTAAACTGACGTTTTTCCATAATGTCACATTTATGCACTCCATATCACAAACAAAATGTGTATTTATTTTTATTTTTTTCTAAAAATAACTCAACAGTGAGAGGGTTGACATTTTGTAATCAGTATCTGGACAATTAAACAGAAAAAAACAAAAAAACAAAACAGTAATATGCTTGAGCATCCATAGGACTAATTAAAAAAAAGGAATACCCGATAAACTATTACTATATATATATATATATGTATATGGCTTGCATTTATAAAAAATCTGTATTTTATGAAAACGTTTTAAAGTGCAAAATGTATTTGTTATTGTACACTATTTTATTTAATTAGTTGTATGGCAACTCTTCCAAGCATATTGCTGTATTTATTTGTTGGATTTTTTATTTTGACACTGGTTGCCCTTTCTTTATATATATATAAAGAAAGGGCAACCAGTGTCAAAATAAAAATTAAATGTGTGTGTGTGTGTATATATATATATATATATATAGTTTTTGTTTTATATATAGGGACTGATTTATGCTCCTTGCTAGGCCAGTTTCCTTTCCCATCCCTTCAGATATACAGGGAGTGCAGAATTATTAGGCAAATGAGTATTTTGACCACATCATCCTCTTTATGCATGTTGTCTTACTCCAAGCTGTATAGGCTCGAAAGCCTACTACCAATTAAGCATATTAGGTGATGTGCATCTCTGTAATGAGAAGGGGTGTGGTCTAATGACATCAACACCCTATATCAGGTGTGCATAATTATTAGGCAACTTCCTTTCCTTTGGCAAAATGGGTCAAAAGAAGGACTTGACAGGCTCAGAAAAGTCAAAAATAGTGAGATATCTTGCAGAGGGATGCAGCACTCTTAAAATTGCAAAGCTTCTGAAGCGTGATCATCGAACAATCAAGCGTTTCATTCAAAATAGTCAACAGGGTCGCAAGAAGCGTGTGGAAAAACCAAGGCGCAAAATAACTGCCCATGAACTGAGAAAAGTCAAGCGTGCAGCTGCCACGATGCCACTTGCCACCAGTTTGGCCATATTTCAGAGCTGCAACATCACTGGAGTGCCCAAAAGCACAAGGTGTGCAATACTCAGAGACATGGCCAAGGTAAGAAAGGCTGAAAGACGACCACCACTGAACAAGACACACAAGCTGAAACGTCAAGACTGGGCCAAGAAATATCTCAAGACTGATTTTTCTAAGGTTTTATGGACTGATGAAATGAGAGTGAGTCTTGATGGGCCAGATGGATGGGCCCGTGGCTGGATTGGTAAAGGGCAGAGAGCTCCAGTCCGACTCAGACGCCAGCAAGGTGGAGGTGGAGTACTGGTTTGGGCTGGTATCATCAAAGATGAGCTTGTGGGGCCTTTTCGGGTTGAGGATGGAGTCAAGCTCAACTCCCAGTCCTACTGCCAGTTCCTGGAAGACACCTTCTTCAAGCAGTGGTACAGGAAGAAGTCTGCATCCTTCAAGAAAAACATGATTTTCATGCAGGACAATGCTCCATCACACGCGTCCAAGTACTCCACAGCGTGGCTGGCAAGAAAGGGTATAAAAGAAGAAAATCTAATGACATGGCCTCCTTGTTCACCTGATCTGAACCCCATTGAGAACCTGTGGTCCATCATCAAATGTGAGATTTACAAGGAGGGAAAACAGTACACCTCTCTGAACAGTGTCTGGGAGGCTGTGGTTGCTGCTGCACGCAATGTTGATGGTGAACAGATCAAAACACTGACAGAATCCATGGATGGCAGGCTTTTGAGTGTCCTTGCAAAGAAAGGTGGCTATATTGGTCACTGATTTGTTTTTGTTTTGTTTTTGAATGTCAGAAATGTATATTTGTGAATGTTGAGATGTTATATTGGTTTCACTGGTAATAATAAATAATTGAAATGGGTATATATTTGTTTTTTGTTAAGTTGCCTAATAATTATGCACAGTAATAGTCACCTGCACACACAGATATCCCCCTAACATAGCTAAAACTAAAAACAAACTAAAAACTACTTCCAAAAATATTCAGCTTTGATATTAATGAGTTTTTTGGGTTCATTGAGAACATGGTTGTTGTTCAATAATAAAATTAATCCTCAAAAATACAACTTGCCTAATAATTCTGCACTCCCTGTATATGTATTGTTATGCATGTGTGTTACAGTCTACTCAGTAACCCGTAGACTTATATTCCCCGATCAATACTCACTCACTCATTCACTCACTGATCCATGCAAACGCACTCACACTGCTTAGAGGTCTGACCCATGCAGACATACTATGGTTCTACAGCTCCCAGCATGCCTTGCCAGTTTCAAGGCTTGGAAAAGCTCCTCAGTACCTTAAGGTTTGAACAGCATCATGGGAGTTGTAGTAGTACAGTAGCTATGGACACAGTGGTGGCCGCGTTGCAGGCGTAGACTGGATGTGGAGGCAGACTGAGGACCACGCCCTAGACCATTGATTGCAAACCTTTTTGAGCCCGAGTGCCCAAACCGTAATACATGCCAATTTTTTTCCCCTCAAAGTGCCAAAACGGCAATTAAACCTGAATACTGAGGTTTAAGTTTAGAAAAAACAACTCATACAGTTGTCCGAACTAATTAACATCTCTGTGTGTGTATTTAGCAGTTTGTGTGTGTGCTCGGCAGTCTGTCTGTATGTGTATTTAGCAGTCTGTCTGTGTGTATTTAGCAGTCTGTTTGTGTATTTAGCAGTCTGTCTGTATTTAGCAGACTGCTGAATACACACACAGACTGCTGAGTACACAGTCTGCTGAATACACACACAGACTGCTAAATACACACACACACACACACACACACACATAGACTGCTAAATACACACACACAGACTGCTGAGTACACACACACAGACTGCTGAGTGTACACACACAGACAGACTGCTGAGTGTACACACACAGACAGACTGCTGAGTGTACACACACTGCATTGAGGGGTACAGTGTATGTGTTTGTGTGTGGGGTGATGTGTTTGTGTGGGGGGTGATGTGTGTGTGTGGAGGGTGATGTGTGTGGGGTGATGTGTGTGTGTGTGTGGGTGGGGTGATGTGTGTGTGGGGAGATGTGTGTCGGGTGGTGTGTGTGTGGGGTGGTGTGTGTGTTTGGGGGGGGTGGTGTGTGTGTGGGGGGGTGGTGTGTGTGTGTGTGGGGGGTGGTGTGTGTGTGGGGTGATGTGTGTGTGTCTTTGTGTGGGGTGATATGTGTAGGGCAGGGGTGCTGTGTGTATGTCGTCCCCCCTCTCCCCCCGCCCACTGTTTTCTTTCCCCCCATCCCTCCCTCATTTTTTTCTCCCATCCCACACTTAGTTTTCTCCCCCCATCTCTCCCTCAGTTTCCCTCCATCTCTCCCTCAGTTTCCCCCCATACCTCCCTCAGTTTTCTCCCCCCCCATACCTCCCTCAGTTTTCTCCTACCTTGTAGCGTGGCAGAGCGCACTGCGGAGCTCAGTTTCCTGTACCCAGCCGGACAGGAAGTGCTCTCTCTGTGAGCACTTAATTTCCGTCCGCCCGGGTACAGAAAACATAAGTTCCTGTACCGCGGCGCGCTCGGCCACGCTACACAGAGTGCCTGGCAGGAGGGAACGCTATGCGCTATGCGCTCACCTTCTGCCGGTCACTCCGGCTTTGCGCCCGCTGGGCCGGTGCGCCCCAAGGCGGCCACTTGTGCCGCATTATGGATGCGCCGGCGGAGCGCACCCTCCCTCCCTCCGGCGACCTATGGCCGCGTGCCCACAGAGGGGGCTCGGCGTGCCATAGGTTCGCCATCACTGCCCTAGACCGAAGGAGCTGCAGTAGAGGCTGGAGCAAGAATCGAGGAGGAGCACAGACAGGAGCTGTGAATCGGCTAGTTCCTGGCTTAGAGCAGCAAAAAGTAAAGGAAGAACTGCCTGCATCATGCCCATACCTCCCAACATTGCAAATGGACAAAGAGGGACACAGTAATATTAGCGGTGTGACTGGGGGGGAGGGGCAGGGACAGGCTGTTCTGAGAAGTTTTTGGTGATTCACTATTTTACTCAATTTATGCAACTAAAATGTAATTTAGAGCAAAAACAGTGTATCTTATTCACACAGCCTGATTTCTAAACATTACTGTGGATCTCTGTTATACACTCAGACACATCAACAATATGGAGCCTGTACAAAGAGAGGGACAGTAGGATAGAAAAGAGGAACAGAGGAATTTGGGCCCAAAATAGGGACTGTCCCTTCTACGAATAGCTGGGTGGTATGCATGCCTCCCTCTTTCTTCTTGCCCAGTATTGGGCACCAACAGCAGAAGTATAGTCTGGCCAATGATGGAGATTTTTGCTTTCTCCACTGGCTGTCTTGCCCCGAGGACATGGCCTCAGTGGCATTGTGGGAAATCTAGCTCAATATATATCTTTACTTCAAATACTGATAAAGTTGGATTTAGTTTAATGCTATGGCACAGAAAACAAGATATCTCTAATAGATGTTACAAATGTCTCTAGTGGGTGATATGTGGTCATATGATTCCTGGAGCAATTTTTGACAATCCTTAGTCTGCCAGAATTAAAATATATATTAAAATATTTTTTTGTATTTGGTCAGTCAGTATTCTTTTAAGATTTCGTCTGTCGAGCAGCTTTCGGTCTGGCTCAAGTCCAGACACATTTTTGGCTCCTTTTAAAGTGTGAACAATGGCCTCGATTTAATTCTTCTGAATAAGCTGTACAAATGTTAGAATAACTTTTCAAATGATTTATGTATGAAAATACACTGTAAAGGTGACTGATGCAGATAAAAATATTTTTTTTCTAACAGATTGCGATCATTATATCTCCCAACAATCATGACAGGGTAATCAGGAAGGGTGCCAATTTTAGGTGTCCGCGGATACCTGGAGAGGACCGTGAAATTGTGAAAAAGCAGGACTGTTAGGAGGCCTGGATCATTTGAAAAACTTAGCCAAAATAATTTAATTGAGACCCAGTCTAAACTTACTAAAGTGAAAATTGCAGGGAATTCAAAGTCAATTTAAATTTGAAGTCAAAATAGCCAAACTGGAAGCATAAGTGACTTGGAGAAGTTTTCTAGTTGGGATATATTTGACCTAAAATGTGAAATTCACGTTGCATTCCTAACAGTTCTAATTTTAGTGACTGATTCCATGAGATAATTATTCTCTCTGATCACAAACTACAGACCTGGCTGGCTGACGTCGGAGGGGGGAGGAGCATGGGCAGAGCCATACCCAGCACCGAGGTACATCGGCGCTATATTCAGGTAAGTAGCTGAAGAGTTTTAACCCCTTCAGCGCTATGGGATGGGGGCACTGCAGGATCCTGCAGTGCCAGGAAAATGGGTTTGAATTCATGGCACTTGAGAGTCCCTTTAATTATACACTACATCTTGAAAAAAAAATGTATTTCTATAATATAATAATATATAATAACATACAGTATATTTTA